ACAATGCCCAGCAAAGGAGACAATATGTCACTCATGTGGTAAAAGAGGACACTTCAGTAAAGTGTGTAAATCTGTTAAATCTGTGCATGTGATAGAAACAGAGGAATGTGATGATACACCCGTGTTCCTTGGTTCTGTAGACGCAGGTTCAGACCCTTGGTATGCAGACCTTACTATCAGAAACCACAAGGTTAGATTTAAGATAGACACAGGAGCTGACGTCTCTGTTATCCCAGCCCAAATGTATTACTGCATAAACCAAAATGAGACAGGGTTATGTGAACCAGATAGACCATTGTTTGGTCCAGGTGGCACTCCACTTGATGTGTTGGGAATGAGCAGAGAAACAATTTGCAAAGGTGAACAGGAAATCCAGGAAAATGTGTACATTATCAAAGATTTGCACATAGCACTGTTAAGCAGGCCAGCAAGTGTAAAGCTAAACCTTGTGTGTAGAGCTGACAGTATTGACATGAATGTGTTAAACGAGAACTACCCAAAACTGTGTCAGGGATTAGGTTTAATGCAACAACCTTACACTATTAAGCTGAAACCCAATGCTGTGCCTTTTTCCCTGGCCACCCCAAGACGGGTCCCCATCCCTTTGTTAGGGAAGGTGAAACGAGAACTGGAAAGAATGGAGTCCATGGGAGTAATCAGCAGAGTTGAAGAACCAACAGAATGGTGTGCAGGTATGGTCCCTGTGCCAACAAAAAATGACTCTGTGCGTATTTGTGTTGACCTTACTCACCTCAATGAAGCAGTGTGCAGAGAAAAATACATCCTGCCTTCTGTTGAGCAGACACTTGGATCCCTGGCTGGAGCAAAAGTCTTCAGTAAGCTGGACGCAAACAGAGGCTTCTGGCAGGTTCCGCTGTCACCAGAGTCAGCACACTACACAACATTTATCACACCCTTTGGGCGCTTCTACTTCAACAGACTTCCCTTTGGAATAGCGTCCGCCCCAGAACATTTTCAGCGTAGAATGTCAGTGATCCTTAATGGGCTGCCAGGTGTGGTTTGTCACATGGATGACATCCTCATTTGGGGACAGGATCAGCAGGAGCACAACGCCCGGCTGCACACAGTGCTCAATAAACTGCAAGAGGCTGGTGTCACTCTAAACCTGGAGAAATGTGACCTGAGTAAACAGGAAGTGAAGTTCCTCGGACACGTTTTGTCTTCAGCGGGAGTACAGCCAGACCCAGAAAAAATTAGAGTGGTCACAGCAATGAAAGAGCCGTCAAACATCAGTGAAGTGTGCAGCTTTCTCGGGATGGTTAACCAATTAGGCAAATTCATCCCAGGACTGGCCGAAAAAGACAAGCCCCTAAGAGACCTGCTCTCGAAGAAAAATCAGTGGGTTTGGAGCTGCGCACAGCAAAAAGCATTCAATCAGCTGAAAGGCGATCTGACGTCAACTCCCATTCTTGCACTCTATGACCCAAATAAAGACTTAAAACTGTCTGCAGATGCTTCCTCCTATGGACTGGGAGCAGTCCTCTTTCAACAAGAGGGAGAGCAATGGAGACCGGTAGCATATGCGTCTCGTTCTTTAACAGAAACAGAACAGAGGTATGCACAGGTGGAGAAGGAGGCGCTTGGACTAACGTGGGGTTGTGAGAGATTCAAAGATTTTCTTATCGGAAGACACTTCTCTCTAGAGACGGACCACAAACCACTGGTCAGCCTGCTAGGGCAGCAAGCTCTAACTGAGCTTCCACCCAGAATCCAACGGTTCCGCCTAAGGCTCATGAGGTACAGTTACACCATCTCACACATTCCAGGCAAAGAAATCCTCACAGCAGATGCGCTGTCACGTGCACCCGTTGACCATGACCCTGATTCTAAGGCTACAGCTGAACTACTGGAGGACACCAATATATATGTGGAAGAAATAGTCAAGTGCATGCCTGCTACCCCGTCATACATCACACAGTTAAGGGAACAGCTTAAAACTGACAGCATATGCTCAGATGTCATGGCTTTTTGTCAGAGCAGCTGGCCTGAATACAGCCATCTCACAGGCCCAATTAAAACATATTGGCCACACAGAGACACATTAACAGTACACGACAATCTGCTACTCAAAGGCACCAGACTAGTTATCCCTACTGCTATGCGCCACTCTGTCCTCATTGCCCTACACGAGGGACATCAAGGAATGTCTAGATGCAGAGAGAGAGCCAGGGAGACAGTATGGTGGCCCGGTCTGAGTGGGCAAATAAATGACCTTGTGAAAAATTGCACCATATGCATCAAAGAGCGTACCAATCCAGTGGAACCTTTAATGCCAAGTCAACTCCCGGAGAGACCATGGCAAAAAGTTGGAGCTGACCTTTTTACGTTTAACAACAGCAACTATGTGCTTCTGGTGGACTACTACTCTAAATTTGTGGAAATAGCCAAACTCACTCCCACAAGATCGGAGGATGTTATAGTGCATCTAAAGTCAATCTTTTCCAGACATGGGATTCCAGAGCTTCTCTACAGCGACAACGGACCTCAGTTTTCAAGCCAACAGTTCAAAGACTTTGCCGCAGCTTATGGGTTCATGCACGTAATGAGCATTCCAGGATTTGCACAAAGCAATGGTGAGGCTGAGCGTCATGTCCAAACTGTGAAAAGTCTACTAAAGAAAGCAAAAGACCCATATCTGGCACTTCTAGCCTACAGAGCGACCCCATTGGCTAATGGATATAGCCCAGCGCAACTACTAATGGGACGAAGACTGCGCATGCCAGTTCCCCAGCTTCCTTCTTTACTCAATCCCAGCCTTCCGAATGGAACTACAGTGTTGACAAAAGCGAGAGAGAGAGCAATGAAAGACAGTGCTGCGTACAACAGGAGACATCGTGTGACAGAACTTCCTCCGCTCTCTCCTGGGCAACCAGTGTGGATTACAGACACCAGACGAGAAGGGACTGTCATATCCTCTCACTCCACACCCCGCTCATACATTGTAGAGACCCCTTCAGGAGCCATCAGGAGAAACCGGCATCACCTTCAGCCATTGCCAGATGCCACTCCAAAGTTACAAACCCCAAGCACGCCAGTCAGACCAACAGAGAACGCCCTGCCTGCTTCAAACCTATCGGTGGCTACTACTCTGACTCCTAAGATAGCAGACGCAGGCCCTGTTAGAACTAGGGCTGGTAGGGTTGTCATAAAACCACAACGACTGGACTTGTGAAGAAAAAAAAAAAAAAAGGAAAGTTCTTATAAGCTGAAGAGTTGAACATGTTTCTATGAAAGGTTCTAAGAAAAAAAAAAGTACAGTGTTCTTATATGCAGTCAAAGTTCTTGTAAGTTTGATGTTTCAGCGAAAGGAGGATGTGGTGTAATCTGTTTGAGTGTAACTGGGTTTTATTGTGAAGGGGAAGGGAGAGGAAGTGATTCAATAAAAGATGGAGTTTGTGTGCTCGACAAGGTGTCACTGGAATCCTTGATAAAAACACGACAACATCTATCTATCACTAGATCACGGAACATCTGTGCTGCTTCTGTTATTAGACCTGACAGCAGCCTTCGACACAGTTGACCACGCGATTCTACTTGATCGCTTGGAACGATGGGTTGGGATCAAAGGGTCAGCTCCGGACTGGTTTAGATCGTATCTCCAAAACAGGACATTCTGTGTTAAACTGGGTGATGTTTTTTCTTCTTGGGAGGGGCTCCGGTGGGGGGTCCCGCAGGGGTCGATCCTTGGTCCACTTTTGTTTGCCATTTATCTGCTACCTCTGGGGTCAATCTTTCGTAAACATGGCCTATCATTCCATCTGTATGCTGACGATTGCCAGATTTATTCTCCATTGTGTCAGGAGAAAGGTCACTCTATTCAGTCCTTTATCTCCTGTGTTAATGAGGTGAATTCTTGGCTAATGTCCAACTATCTACATCTGAATGAGGGAAAGACAGAGCTCATTGTTTTTCACCCCAACAGCAGGAATGTGGATCGTTATGCTGATCTTGGCCCTCTTTCTCCATACTCAAAACCAGTTGTTACCAGTTTGGGGGGGAAACTTGATGTAGGACTTAAATTTGATGCTCACATCAATTCTGTGATCCGGTCCAGTTTCTTTCACCTGAGACGCCTTGCTAAAATCAAGCATATGCTGTCGAGAGCCCACCTGGAGCGGGTACTGCATGCCTTTGTAATTTCTCGGCTTGACTACTGCAACTCTCTCTATGCAGGGTTGTGTCAGTCAACATTGCGTCGCCTACAGGTTGTGCAGAACAGCGCTGCCAGGTTCCTGACTGGAACCAGGAAACGGGACCACATCAGCCCAGTTCTGGCCTCCCTGCACTGGCTTCCGATTTCGTATCGCTCACAATTCAAAATACTCGTCTTTGTTTATCATTTCTTCCAGGGTGGTGCTCCCCCCTATCTGGCCACACTCCTGAACAAACATTCCCCATCACGCGCTCTGTGCTCCTCTGACCAAGGCCTGCTCGCTGTCCCTCGGTCTAGGTGTCGTACCCGTGGGGACCGGGCTTTCTCAGTCCTAGCACCGTTACTCTGGAACCAGTTGCCACCCTCAGTTAGGCTGTCCCCTTCTCTGCCAGTCTTTAAGAATCACCTAAAAACACACCTCCTCCGCTTGGCGTTTCCAGAACATGTTTGATTATGGCGCTCTATTATGTTGAATCCATTCCACAGTTTTCATTGGTACACTCAATCCATCCACTCAATCCAATTGTGTTTCACACATTTGTATTTTACCGGAATGTTTCATCTATCTTGCTATTTCCATTTTGTATTTTGTAATTTGTATTTTGTAATTTGAATTTCTTTTATTGTTGATTTATTCAGTATAATTACTTACAACTGTACCATGTTCAGCGCTTTGGGCTTCCTGACAGGGTTGCGGAAGGCGCTTTATAAATAAAGCTTTGATTGATTGATTGATTGATGTTTCTATGATAGAAAATATGTTTGTTTTTTGTTCATTGAAAACATTTCTATTTTGAACATTTGAAGAGTTCATATGCAGTTTTAATGTGTTCAGAAACTTATTTTATTATTTATTTCATGATATAAATAAAAACTAAGATTAAATGAGTTTTATAAAAACAAAAGTCAGTTTTTGCAGATACACTCTTCCATTTTTACATGATCTGACATAAACATCTTACCTTACATAGTAGGGCTTCACGCACAAGTTTGTTTATGGTTTTAAGGAACTGCTTGGTTAAAAAGTCACAGGTTGAAAATACATCATAAAATTTCCTTTTTCTGTTCTCGGGGTTTACATTTAATGAGATACCCTTGTCAGCAGGGAGTTTCCACTGGCGGAAAGAGAAAATCATAAATAAGTTAACATGTTAAATACACTTCTGATTAGTTCTGAAAGCCTTTTGAACTTTTACACATTGACTCATACATGTCAGAGATCAGCTGCATTGTCCTTTCAGTGTCTTCAGATGCTTGGTAAACAAACCAAAAAATAAAAAATAAAAAAGTCAGTATTTGCTTTACATCAACAAGTCAGGTCTTCATGTGTTCATATCTCAATTGTTCCAAGAAGGAGGATGAAACACCCTGTAAACTTAACATCCATGATGGATTACATTTATAAACTTCAATATAAGTTGTATTTTAGATAATTCTAGGCGGCAGACTGGATGTTTCCTGTTCCTACTGCAGGCATACAATATCTTAGCTTCTTCCAGAAAACACTTTTTGAGTACGTCGTGGTTTGGTTTGCTCCACAAAACTTGTTTTTCCACTTCAGCGCTCCTTGTTTTCTTTTAATAAAGCATAGCGACTCTGGCAGGTTACAATAATCCACCGGGCCATCTGGGACAAAAATAAAAAGCAGGACCTTATGGTCATTAGTCATTTAAGTACATAAAATGTGTTTCATAAAAAGGAAAATCTTTACAAGAGAGCCAACTGTAAAGTCAATCATAACAGTTACATTTATAATATTTAGCTCCAAACTAACTTGTTAAAATTTTCAAAGGAGAATTGACTGTGTGCTGTGTTAGGAATGCCCTGCTCAGAAGGACATTGGGTTCATTTCCATCACATATCGCAGATATTCAATGTTTTGGATTTTCTTGGCCCAAAATTAGCGTGGGATGTTTGTCATGAAGATAAACAAGCATGCAGACTGTTAAATGTACAGAATTAGCAGAAACAACAGCATGAAAAGAAACTAGTGAGGAAGAGGATGAACAGGTCACACCAAAACCAGCTTGAACAGGTGAGTCTTCAGCTGCTTTTTAAAGGAGACCACTGAGTCCACTGATCTCAGGCTCAGGGGGAGAGAGTTCCAGAGTCTGGGGGCCACAGCAGCGAATGATCTGTCACCTTTGGTCTTTAGCCTGGTGCTGCACAACCAGTAGGCTTTGATCACTGGACCTCAGGGACCTGCTGGGGGTGTAGGGACTGAGAAGATCACCAATGTAAGATGGTGATTGTCCATGTAAGGCCCTATAGACCAGAACCAGGATCTTGAAATGAACCCTGAAGTTGACTGGCAGCCAGTGAAGCTGGAGGAGAAGCGGGGTGATGTGGGTGTGTTTGGAGGACTTGGTCAGAAGCCGAGCACAGGCATTCTGAACCACCTGTAGATGGTTCAGGGAGGTTCTGCTCAGACAAGAATTCTGCATGCATGTCTTCTGCCATGTTTGTTTCTTCTGAAGTCACGTTTAATCTCAAGACGCTTTGTGAGATGTGGGATCTGACCAGGAAGTGAAATGAGATCATATGTGGCTAGCTTTTGTCGTGTGGCCGAACACAATGCACCACAGGATCAAAACTGTTATATCCAGGGTTTGAATTACACATAGTCTTCTGGGGGAGCCCAACGAGAATGCTGTGATAACAGAGGTGTGTGTGTGTGTCTTTCTTTTGGGCTCCTCTGGGTGTTTCAGTTGAGGGCTTCTGGGGGAATCCATCACCCTTTTGGGGGAGCCAGGCTCCCCCTAGCTCCCCTGTTATTTGAACCCTAGTTATATGCATGATTTTTTTATTGCCACATGTGGTGTCACTCATGTTTAATTTTTTTCAAATTGTTTTACTTTAATTCTTATGTTTTTATTTTTTCCAAGAATATATTTTATTCTTGAAAATAAAACAGCTATACACTTGCCATAGCTATACACATTTTTTGCCACAATTAAACTAAGATCCAGAAAACACGCTGACATTTGCTATAAGCATATTCGTTAGGGCAAAGTCCTATTAGAAATAATTTAGCATCCAATGATACCTCCTTTTTGATAATTTTTTTCAGTAGCAATTCTTACTTCGTCCCAGAACTTTTTGATTTCTGTACACTCCCAAACACAATGATACAGTGTCCCTTTATGAACAGCGCATTTAGCACATGTATCTGGTGTATTGCTATTGTATTTGTTCAGTCTCTCTGGGGTGACATATGTCTGCATTAAATATTTATGTTGAATTAATCTTAACCCTGTATTGATGAACTTGGTGTGAGCTCCACCACAGGTCTTCTCCCAGTCCTCTACTCAGTTCTTGCCTGAGGTCGTCTTGCCACGCTGCTCTTCTATCATTCGCTCCATCTGAGTGATGTTCCACGATTAGCTGATAACAGTCCGAGACTATTCATTTGTCATCATTCCTTCCAAGGTGGTGAGGGAGGGCTTGAAACCATCACTTTTTTGCTTAGATTTTAGAAAACTTCTGAGCTGTAAGGTACTTAACCCTTTGATGCATAATGGTCACTACAGTGGACAGGTACTTAAAATAGTTATTTATTTATTTTTGCTATTAAGCACAGCTGTTGAAGACTTTATTGCATTTGAACCCCTCCATTTGTACTTCAGTAAATCAAGCCAACATATTTCATGTTCAAATTGCACACTGTCCACTGAGGTGGACATGTAATAAATTATTTGTAAATTAAATTTTACAAAAAATATGTAAATATAAAATTTGTTTCATTCACACCTAAAGATGATTGAAAAAAATTGTTAAAAAAAATCATGGTTGAAGATTTCATAATTCATGCATCAAAGGGTTAAAAAATGTTTCTTTTCTGTTCTATATTTAGTCCTTAGCTGTTCAAAAGACATCAAATTATCAGCGTTTTGCAAATATAAGTCCTTAACTGATTTAATTCACTGGAGATACCAGCTTTTAAATATGGCATCTGCTCTTCCTGGTGTAAATCGCTGGTTTCCTCATTTGGGACTAAATTGGGACAATTCTTCTTCTTCTTTAAGATGCTTTTTTGTTGAAAACCAAAATGTTATATTTTGCACTATTGGATTTTTTGTATGTTTTAATAATTTCTTTTGCAAAGTATACATACAAAAAGAATGACAACTTTAGATCTAGAGACTCTTATTCTGCCCAATGTGAGGGATTATGGCTGAAAAGGAATTTGTAATAGTCCTTAACTGTGCAGCCCAGTAGTGCCACTTTAAGTTGGGGCATTTAAGCCCCCCTCTATCATAGGGGTAGCGTTGGCTTCATCAGAACGTGATCTTCAGCTTTCGCTGGAGCGGTTCGCAGCCGAGTGTGAAGCAGCTGGGATGATAATAAGCTCCTCTAAATCTGAGGCCGTGGTCTTGATTCGGAAAAGGGTCAGGGATGAGGTCCTGGCCCAAGTGGAAGAGTTTAAGTATCTCGGGGTCTTGTTCACGAGTGAGGGAAAACTGGAGCATGAGATCGACAGGCGGATTGGTGCTGCTTCTGCAGTGATGCGGGCGTTGTACCGGTCTGTCGTGGTGATGAGAGAACTGAGCCGGAAGGCAAAGCTTTCGATTTACCGGTTCATCTACGTTCCTACCCTCACCTATGGTCACAAGCTTTTGGGTAGTGACCAAAAGCACGAGATCGCGGATACGGCCGAAATGAGTTTTCTCCACAGGGTGGCTGGGCTCTCCCTTAGAGATAGGGTGAGAAGCTCGGTCATCCGGGAGGGGCTCGGAGAAGACCCGCTGCTCCTCCACATCGAGAGGAGCCAGTTGAGGTGGCTCGAGCATCTGGTCAGGATGCCTCCTGGACGCCTCCCTGTTAAGGTTTTCCAGGCACGTCAAATTGGGAGGAAACCCAAGGAAAGACCCAGGACACGCTGGAGGGACTATGTCTTTTGGCGGGCCAGGGAACGCCTTGGGATTCCCCTTGAAGAGCTGACCCAAGTGCCTGCGGAGAGGGAAGTTTGGGTGTCCCGGTTTAGGCTGCTGCCCCCGCGACCCGACTCTGGATAAGCGGTTGAAAATGGATGGATGGATGGATGGATCATTTTATAGTAAGTCAGATTTTTTTTACAATTAAATTAACGTTACAGTTGGTTTTATTCAGATTAAAAAAGACACACAAAAAAAAGACAAAAAAAGAAGCAAAAACGAAAAAAATATCTGTCCTCACCAACTTCCACCAGAATTACTTTAGGATCATTTCTCAGCAAAGCATCATGGAGGCCCAGATTTAGTTCAAACCAGAGTTGATTCTGGTTCTCATGTAAAAGCTCGGTCTCCACCTTTCTAATGTCTGGTGACAAGATGATTATGAGTCTGCGGCACTGGTGCAGCGTAGTGGCAATGACGTCATGCACCGCTGTAAGAGATTACAGATGTGGAACAGAGCATGAAATGACTCATAAATTACACCTAATCTGCAAAATCACAACAATCTGAGCCTCCTACTTTTCCTGGCTAATCCGTTCTTTCAGTTCTTGCTCAATAAACACGGCTGTGAAGCAAACTTTATTATCTGTTAACAAGCTGCTGTATTTGTATTTTATTTTGTTACTTTTTGTAATTAAACTAGATTTCTCTGACATTAAAATTTGTCAATCTGCTCTAGAGTGAAGAAAAGATTATTTTCAGTTTTTTATCTCAGTTTCTGACTTTAATTATTTTATTTTTATTCACCTCAAATAGTTTTGTGATTTTTATAGTTATGTTTTGTCATGTGTCAGGCACATGTGAGGACTTCTGCAGAAGTTATTCTAACTACTACTTGTTCAATACCAGCCATCACTGGTGATCTTTATTCAACATCCACACATTTTTATTGCCCAATCAGCTTTCAATATGACCCAGACGAGCTCCTGACCTTCTCCGGGGGAGTCGTCCCGTCCTCGGATGAACAGAGAGTAACCGTGTTTCTGCTCCAGCTCCTCAGGCAGGACCTGCAGAGCAAACCTCTCTGCTTCACACAAACACCACACGTCTGATTGGACGACGCTCACATAGGCGTCGTAAAGTTTTCCATCTGAAACTGATCAAATGCAAAATGATTTTTTTAAAGTTGCTTTTTCTATTATCTTTTTTCTCTTTGTTCCACAGCTTTTAACCAAGAATTTTTGTTATTTAGTCGTGTTTTATTTATTTATTTATTTATTTGTTTTTGCTTTGATGACTGTAAAGAAGGTTGATGAAATAAAGCTCACCTTGTGTGGAAAAGTGTCTCAGCAGTTTCCTGTAGGCCAAAACCAGGTCGACTTTAAGGCAGTAAAAGGAGACAGCCAGGACCAGAATGACCAGCGAAGCGGAGAGGAACAGGATCATGCTCAAATAGAAATCACTGAGGTCGGCTGAAGAAACAAACATAAACAAACTTCAGTGCTAGGATGCTTGTAAATAAACTTCCTGGTTTCTTTAGTACATCTTTGTAGTTTCAGCAAGAGGACAATACCTTCCTGTAGCCAAGCCAAACCAAACTTCTTTTCAGCTGGACTCGAGATGTGGCAAAGAATGGGGACGTTCAGGAACTGATGTAGGACTTTAGAGATGGACAGGTTGGACTGACCATACACCTTTCCTCTGTCATGAACGCTAAAAGGCACAAAGAAGAGTCAGGGGCAGGGGAGGGTTTGAGGATAATGACGTGGTGTGATTTAACCCTTTAGGCGCTATCGTTTTTTCAGTAAAATATGAATTTTTATATCACTATTTAAAGAGCCTTTAGCTTAAATATGGTT